TGCTCGGGGGGTGGGGTCATGATCAAGGGGGCGGTAGGAGGTGGTGTCGGAGAGTTGGCGTCTGGCCTTGGCGATGTAGAGGTCAGTGTGCCGTTTCAACTCCCCCTCCCATTCCTCAGACGACATGTCCCTCCTGGGCCTCCTGCAGTGCCACAACGATGCCACCCGAAGGTTGCCGGAACAGCAACTCATATTCTGCTTGGGAACCCTGCAGCCCAATGGTATCAATGTGGATTTCACAAGCTTCAAAATCTTCCCTCCCCCAACCGCATCCCAAAACCAGCCCAGCTCGTCCCCGCCTCCCTAACCTGTTCTTCTTCCCACCTCAAGCCGCACCCCCATCTCCTACCTACTAACCTCATCCCGCCCCCTTAACCTGTCCGTCCTCCCTGGACTGACCTATCCCCTCCCTAACTCCCCACCTACACTCACCTTTACTGGCTCCATCCCTGCCTCTTCGACCTGTCTGTTTGCTCTCCACCTATCTTCTCTATCCGCCTCCCCCTCTCTCCCTATTTATTTCAGAACCCCCTTCCCCTCCCCCATTTCTGATGAAGGGTCTAGGCCCGAAACGTCAGCCTTCCTGCTCCTGTGATGCTGCTTGGCCTGCTGTGTTCATTCAGCTCTGCACCTTGTTGTCTCTAAAGTTTAGTGTACCTCACTGTGAGAGAGAAGGCTGGCGGCCCCCATCATCCAACACCTAGCTCAGAAACCTTTATCAACATATCGTAGCTACTCAAAATGTTTGATCATAAGGGCTTCTGTTTCCTCCAGTATTTCCATAGTCCTTGCTCTGACCAAACAAAGACCTCAAACTTGTGTTCCATTCTCATTCAGGACTTCAATTACAAACTTTCCTCCTCCTATGTTAGGAATCATTTTGCAAGTTCACATTCCTCTCCTTCAGCCACAATTACTTCGAAGTTCTCTTTCAGAACCCACACAACACTTCTGGCCTTTCACATCTTTAGCTCATTTTGTCAATCTATGGATCTTATCTCCTGTGCTTTATCTTCCATTTAACGAGGAGGACTCTTGTGGCAGTGGTATTATCACTACTTCAGAGCAGGAGGTCCAGGTTAAAGTCTCACCTGCTCCAGAGGTATGTCATAGCATACCTGAACAAGTTGATTAAACAATTACACATTTAGCCTGTGTTTGTACTTGCTGATTGCTTTCTCTGCTCTCCTATAATGGTGTTATTCCTCCAATTAACTCAGTTTCTCCAGGTCAGTTTTCATTTTAGATTCCCAGCATCCAGGTTAATTCACTTTTATTTTGACCTAGTTGTCATGTCCAAAGAGCTCAAAATAAAAAATATTATTTTCTCTATCCATTATTACAATTTTGTCAAATTCTCACTAAAAAGACTCACTACATATGGGGATGGTTCTGTTTTCAAACATATAATCACATTTATCACTGGCCTAAGTTTACCATACTCATTATCCTTATATCTGCATCCTTTAAAATAATTTTAGTCTTGAGAGAAGTACAGGCAAACTGATTTATTTATAAGTTACTACTCTTTCCACACCCCCCTCTCGACTCCCAATTCCTATAACACCAACTTAATATTTTGATGAGGGGGGTTAGGTCCAGATTGTATAAACCATAAATCCACAAGTCTCCCAAAGGAAACTGCCTTGTGCTGTTTCCATGATCCATGAAATATTTTCAGACAGCCTGCTCAATAGTAGGCGTAGTCCACTGGTCAGCGCCAGTGCTGATAATATTTACACCAGCTCCACTATAGGGAATCGTCACGAATTATGTTATCCCCAAACCTGAACTCTCAAGTTCCTTCACCGTACTTTGGTCCTTATTTGAACAAGCTAGGTAACATTTTAAGCAAATCTTATTTCACACACTGGACAAGCATCCACTGTCCAATGTATTATAATTGGATGAGTTTGCAACTAAAACCTTCATTAATAGGTGAAGATTCTCATAACTAGTACAATTCCCTCTGCTGAATCAGTAGCCACATCTTCCCATTGCAAGTTGTGCATAATTCAGAAAACCTTCCTATTCCATTTAAAACTATCTCATTGCATAATGGTATTTTAAATTTCATCTAACACAGCTGTTGACCATATTTCTGGGTTCCTCCTTTTGTTATAGCTCCCCAATTCCTGTCATCTATTGTAATTGTCAGAGATATCTCTATCCTCACTCCTAGTTCTGATTCTCTTTTGCACTCATGTTATGACCTGTATCTTTGCAGCCTTGCAATGCCGCTACCATTAAATGCTGAATATCTTACTTGAGCCATGAAGGTTGCTAATGAATGTTTTACAATTTTTTTTTAAAAGAAAAAGACTGACATTTGTTCTGAAAGAATGTTCCTTGCTGAAAATCTAGCTCCAGTTAATACTAGGAGTTAAATTCAACACTTTAGCACAGTCCAAAAATTTAAGACAAGCACTCAGCTATTCTATTCAACCTGTTCAGAGATGTTATAACATCTCTGGAGAGGGGTCTCACCAGGTCAAGACTCCTGGGCCAGAGATACGGAAACTACCATTGTACCACAAAATCTCTTTATACCTGCTTAGTTTTTTTTTTAAAGCAACCTGATCAGAGTTGTTATTACACACCTCTGGAGCAGGTGGGACTTGAGGGTGGGCCTCCTGACCCAGAGGCAAGGACACCACCACTGCACCTCAAGGTCCCTATGAACAAGGCAGTGTCAGTGTTTCTTCATGGCTGACAACGGAGACCTTTTGTGAGAGAGGCAAACATACTAACCATTACGTTTCAAACAAAAAGTGCAAGAGACCTTATAGATTTAAAAAGTCAACCTATGACAGGTGGGACTTGAAGCTGAGCCTTCTGGTCCAGATGTAGGGAAACTACCACTACATAAGTGCCCAGCACAGTTCTTCTAGATTTTATATCTGGAAGTGCTATCATACACAACCAAACAGCTTTTCCCACCAGATCACCTGTGCCAATTTTCACCCTATCAATCATCACCATTAAATCACATGTTTCCAATTGTTCAATTGACATGTAGAACTTTTTTTTAAAAAGGGCAATACAATAAAAAGGTTCAGACAATTGTTTCTTTTAATATCAGAACTTTTTTCCTTTTTTTAAAATATATCCAAAGTGCTCTTACACAACTGAACATTTTTCTCTCTCATCAGTAAAACAGCTCCTTTTAGAGGATTAAAAACATCAACCACCACACTTAACTATTTGCTTCATTAAACATAGCTGATCACAGCATTCTCTTCCAAAGCCTCTCCACAGCTGGGTGGGACTGTTGTCACATGATTTTTATTCTTATTTTCTCATAGCCAGAGTATCATCTGCAATGGCTTTTCTTCTCAAGCCTCGTCCCCATCCATTTCTCATCTATACATAGTTTCACTAAGGAGCAGTCTGAAAGCAAGTAGTGTTAGAGCTGACAACAGCCTGCTCTATGTCACCACGACCTCTCTGGATTCTTACACTACTGCTAAATTATAAGACTGCTTATCCAACATTTATGCAGAGATTAGCTCTAAATTAACAGAGATGAGTGAAGCCACGCCAGTTCTAAAAATCAGTTCCCACACAATAGTCGGAGATTGTGCTATTTTGTTTCAGACTTTAGTGTTGTCCTTGAACCATATGTGAGCTTCAAACAACTTATGGGTCATTATCAACACAGTACAATCATCTGGCTTCACCTGCCTCCGATCATCTATTTCTGGAATCTTAATTTATTCCTGAATGCTTCAGACTTCATTCGATAGCACTCCTAGCTGGTCTCCCATATTCTATCCTGCATAAACTTGGTCATCCAAAAGGCTGCTACCCATGATTTAGTGAGAGTTAAGGCACATTTATCGATCACCTCTGATGGCTGACTTATATAGGCTACAGCAATGTCTTCATTCTGATTTCATGTTATGAAATCCTTTCCTGTGATGACTCCTCCTCAACTGATCTCCCCAGCTCCACAACCCTTAGATCTCTACACTTCAGCATTCCAGATTTTAATCACTATTATTGGCAGTTTGCCTTCAGCTTCTTTCAGCTCTAGAAATCTCCATTCACTTCTTTGCCCCACTTTCCTGCTTTAAGTGAATCCTCCAAAAAGTGCATCTATTACCAAGGCTTCAGTCATTTGACCTGATAACTCCTTACATGGTGACATCATGTTTTGCTTTACAGTGCTCCTGTGAAGCACCTTGGGAATTTCTTTTTCAGTTGGGATGTAGGCATCACTGGCAAGGCCAAAATTTGTTTCTCATCCCTAAATGCCCCTGAACTGATGAACTCAACTATCCTCTAAGATGGCTTAAGATGCAAATCACATTTCTTGCGTTTAGTCACATCTAGTACAGACCAGCAGATTTCCATCCCTACAGGATATTAGTGAAGCATGTGACAATCAACTGATGATGGTGACATGGTCACCATTAGTCTAGTTTTTGTTGTAATCCTAGCTTTTTAAAACTGAATTCAAATCTCACATTTGCAATAGTAGGACTCACTCACATCGCTGGAGTTTCAGCCTGATGCTCTGAATTACTAGTCTAGGTGACAATACCACTATGCTACTACCTCCCATCAAATGCTATGTTGGTTGCAGTGCAGAAAGCCCTTTCTTGTAATAGCACCAAATACTACTATAAAAGATGCAAACATACCTATTCCAGCTTGGCCAACTATCCATGAAAGCCGAATGAAAAGCATCACACCCCATATATTCAACATACATCGTACCTAGAATACAAACACGTAATTAACTTCAAAGCCGAATTATGGCTTACATACTCATAAGTTAAGGGAAACTTGGAAGGTAGCCTGGGAACATAGAACTTATCTGCCTACTACGTGCATTCAAAAACTTTTGATAATCATCTCTTTCCATAGAGTGGCCACTTTGGACTTCTGCTTACATTTACAACTGTGCCAATAATGACCATTTAATAAAGACAAAAGGAAATATTGCATGCCACAGACTCAACAGCATTTCCTTACCAGCACTCCTTTGATCCATCCAAATCTCACTAATTCATCCTTGTTTTCAGAAGGCTTTCTTCCTGCATCAACTGCACCATCACCATTAGCAACACCATCCACAGTACCAGGAATAGATAAAATATCCTAAAATAAAAATAAATCGAGTATGTAACTAAACATTTAATTCCATTAAAAATATGCCAAGAAGACAGCTATGATTCATTGAAGGAGTACTAATTTATGTGATGCATTGAGAATTTCAACTTAAAAAGGTTATTTTAATGAAATTGAATTACAATATTATTCCCTATACACTCATTTTATTTAAAATTCTTGTAAGTAACAATGGTCAAATGCCTCACTCTAATAACCCAGTCAGAATAAGATATTTGTTCAATATATAAAAGGAGAACGGAGGAGCAAACAACATTTGGGGATGGTCAGGGAGAGCGAGAGCGAGAGATCAGCCCAGGAGCCCAGCCCCTGAAAAGAACATGCATTGACCACAACTAAGGGCTAACCTTAAAATTCCCACCAAACTCTTCCCACCAATCCCTTCCTATTACTCCATCAATCTCTTGGGCAAATGTAAAAGACTGAACGAGTGTTTGCAACCTTGGGATTACATTTGACTTTGAGGTGAGCTTCCAACAAATACCCACACCATCATGAATACCATATACAGCAAACTTTTTATTAACCAGCACCTATGGGACTAGAAGCTTGCCAGTTAATCAAATGTTCTGGTCGATCAAGAGGTCCATATAATCAATGCAAAAACACACAGTAAATAACAATGTAATGCAGGGGGTATACATACTTGTACTTTATTTACAGCATAATTCAAAAATAACAACACAATTTACTCAGACATTGCAAAGATTGTGATAATACAGTAAACCTCCAGAATGAGGTGTATAATTTTTGCCAGTTTATAAAGGTACCGGTTAAAAGAAAGGTCATTCAAGTTCATCAAGGTAACAAGTTACCTGCAACTGAAATGATGCCTTTGCTATATTTACAATGGGCTATTCCAACACCCTCCGGTGAATTTACCATATTTCACCTTCCAGATTCTTAAAGTTCTTAGTATCCCGACAGTGCGGAAACAGGTCCTTCGGCCGAACAAGTCCACACCGACCCTCGGAGCATCCCACCCAAACCCATCCCCCTAATCTACACATCCCTGAACACTACAGGCAATTTATCATGGCCAATCCACCTAGCCTGCACATCTCTGGACTGTGGGAGGAAACCCATGCAGACGCGGGAAGAATGTGCAAACTCCATACAGACAGTCACCCGAGGTTGGAATCAAACCCAGGACCCTGGTGCTGTGAGGCAGCAGTGCTAACCACTGAGCCACTGTGCCCAAACATTCCTGGCCATATGCTTACACAAAGTCCTATTCCCCCATTGCTTGTGATCACTGAAATACATGGGCAATTATAAAATTATCATTCCTTGCTTTCAAATGACCGCTATCGCCAGACTCCTCCAAACAACAACCCTCTAATTCTGGCTGCATGCACATTCTCCATTTTAAATTGCTCCACCGCTGACAGCTATGCTTTCAGCTGCTTAGGTCCTAAAACTTCAAAATCCCTACTACACTTTCTTCCTCTAAGACTCTCCATAAAAACTCCCTTTCCACTCAAGACTTTGCTTATCTGTTCCAATATTGCTTTCATTCCTTTCAACTTTGGAAAGAGCATTCCTGCAAAGCAACATGTTATTTTATTGACACCATTTAAATGCGAGTTGTCATCCTCAACTTGTTTCCTTGATCAAAGAAACAGCCAACACTTGATATCAAAATTTAAGATTTAGTCTTAATCTGGAAAGCAGGCTTCAAAACCAACCACGGCACGATGTTAGTTTACTGTAGGAACTGGATTCAAATCCAAGCTGAAGTGACAAGATTAATTTCTTGGACACTGCGTAACACAAGCATGTTCGAGAAATAAATTAGGAAATTACAGACCTACTAATCTAACTTCTTAGAAAATTTGTTTGTAGGATTAGTGATAACAAGGTGTAGAGCCGGATGAACACAGCAGGCCAAGCAGCATCAGAGGAGCAGGAAGGCTGACGTTTTGGGCCTAGACCCTCCTTCAGAAACGGTAGGAGTAGTGTACTGTTCCGTACTGAACTACTCGAGAATGGGGTAAAGAAACACTGTGATGTCGGGACATCCATAATATTGTTAGGGAGTGTGTTCCAGGACTTCGATCCATTCCCTCAAAATCAAGACGGTATGTGGCTTTTACAGGAGATTTACTGGAATCTCCAGAGTGACTCAGTAATTGGATAAACTCAAGTTGATCAATATGGATTAGTATAACATCACAGTATTCAGAAGTTATTCAACAGTTCAATGCTTCCTATTTCACACATTCTCAATATGTTATCTTAGATAGTGATGTAGTAGGAGTTAGAGGGCAATAAATTGGGCTAAGGGATTGTGATTAAAAAAGAAAGCAGAGCCCAGCCCCATTTCTGTAGCGTAGTGGTGATCACATTTGCTTGACATGCAAAAGGCCCCTAGTTTGAAACAAAATTCCTGCCTTATAAAATGGCTCTTGTAGCACAGTGACAGTGGACCCCTGACTGAGGGGCCTGGATTCAAGTCTCACCTGCTCCACAGCTATGTAATGATATCTCTGAACAGGTGGATTAGAAAAAAAAACATTACTTAATAAAGAACCCCCCACCACCTCATTCATTTTGATTTAGTCCCTTTCTCTAATCTCACCTCTCCATCTTTATGATTTGTATTACCCACAACAGACGTTGCTTATAAATACTGAATTGGCTACACAGGTGTTTTTCTTGGTGGTGGATAGTGGCTTTAATTAAAAGCAAAGCAAAGCAGTGATTTTGGTGTTGGGAATTGCTTGGTTGTGGAAAAAAAAAAGGCCCCCCCTTCCCCTCCACTTTGATTTAAGCCCCTTCTTCCTCTACATACCATCCCTAACCTCCCACTTCATTTTTGATGGTTTGATGAGTTTAGCTGTAAATATCTAATTGGCTACATACGTGTCTTCCTGGTGGTGAGGATAAATATATGTTTAAAAAAAGCAAAAAAAGGTCATGATGATTTAATGGTGGGAACATCACTTGGTTGCACCTCTGGGTACATAAAAAAAAAGTCAGTGATTTGGTGGTGGGAGCCATTATTGGTGTACTAACACTTCCAGATATTTAGAAAAAGGTAAAGCAGACCCTTAGGGGGCTCTTGTGGTGAAGTGATAGAGTCTTTATCTCTGAGCCAGGAGACCTGGAGTGTTTAATTACATCGCTGAACTGGTGGATTAAAAAAAAATACACAGAGCAAATTCCTACAAGTCCAGGCAACAGACTGTAGAGGGAGTCATGTCTGCCATTTGCCTGTCCTTCTTCTGTGGTTACATTTATGTCAGAGTATCACTGGAGAGGAAGCACACAGGTCCATCAACACACTCTATGCCTTTAGACAGGTAGGCACCACAGGGGATAGAGTACTTTATTTCCCCATCCAACTGGATTTTGATTTAGCCCCTTCATGCTCTCCCTAGCCCCTCCTGGCTTTTTATGGTTTACATTGCCCACAATGGGCTTTGCATGCAAACTTCTAAATGGCTGCACGTGATTTACTAGTAGTTGTCAATACTCATGAAAAACCAAGTCAGTGATCTGGTGATGAGAAATGTAGTTCGGTTGGGTGAAGAAAAAAAAAAAAAAAAAAAAAAAAGTGGGGTGGGAGGGGAGACCTGGTGGTATTATCGTCAGACTGTTAATCCAGAGACCCAGATAACATTCTGGGAACCTGGGTTCAAATCCTGCCATGGCAGATAGTGGAATTTGAATTCAATAAAAATCTGGAATTAAGAATCTAACGATGACAGTGAATCCATTGTCAACTGTTGGGGAGAAAACCCAGCTGGTTCACTAACATCCTTGAGGGAAGGAAATTTCCACCCTTACCTGGTCTGGCCTACATGTGACTTCAGACCCACAGGAAGGTGATTGACTCTCAACTGCCCTCTAACCAATTAGGGAATGGGCAACAAATGCTGCCTAGCCAGTGACGCTCTCATCCTGTGAATGAGGAAAAAAAATAAACTTCTGGATATAGAAACAAAATAAAGGCACATTCCTCTACAATCTGGGCAGCAGGTCATTATATTGACTGCCTGCTGTTCTTCCATGGTTAAGCTCATGCCAGTGTCATTGGAGAGGGAGCACACAGCATCCACCAATGCTTTTAAGGAGACAGGGTATACAGTGCTTTATTTACCCCTCCAACTCCATTTTGATTTAGTCTGTTTCTGCTCTCCCTACTCATTTTGTTTTGTATTGCCCATAATCACCTTTGCCTGTAAGTTTCTAACTAGCTATACAGTTTGTTTACTAGTGGTGATTAAGGATTAATCACAGTCACAGTAATTTGGAAGTAGGAAAGCAGTTTGGTTGTGTAGCGTAACACTTCTGGATACATAAGGAGGAAGAAAGATGCAGACTACCAAGGGCTCTTGTGGCACAGTAGTTGTGTTCTTACTTCTGCTCCAGAGGTACATTGACATCTGAACAGGCTGATTAGGAGAAAACAAGAAAAAAAGGCAGACTCATGTCAGATAGTAAGAACTGCTGATGCTGGAGTCTGAGATGACGGCATGGACCTCAAGGAACACAGTACCAGGAGGAGAAGGAAAGCTGACCCAACCAGAAACATCAGCTTTCCTGCTCCTCTGGATGCTGCCTGGCCTACTGCGTTCCTCCAGCTCCACACTTATCTCAAACTCACCTCAGTGTCAAGTGGTTAAGGTGATGGATTTGAAATACATTGTTTGGTCTCTACATGCTGGTTTGAGCCCTATCAACTTGTTCCTCATCTTCCCTAATGTTTCCTCCCTCCAACTCCATTTTGATTTAGCCCCTTACCATTGTCTCACCACCCCCACCCTCACTGGTTTACATTGCCCATAAAAGGGCAGTGCATGCAAATATGCAACTGCTACTAGTGTAGCTAGTCAATAATTTAAAAACAAAAACAGCCATGGTGATTTGGTGGTAGGAAAGCCAGTTGGTTTTGCGTGATAACACTTCCAGGCAGAAAAAGAAACAAATAATGCAAGCCTAATTGACACTATAGCATGGTGGTCATTACCATACCTCTGGGCCAGCAGACCTTGGTTCAAGGCCCACTTACAGCAGAAGTGTAGTAACATGTTTTCTAGTCAGACTCACTCCCTCCAAATCTATTGGATTTGGCCCCTTCCCATTTTTGATAGTTTGTATTACCCATAAATGAGCTTTGTATGCAAGTATCTAGATGTTCTGCTGGTGGTGGTTAGCAGTGAAATGCTGACTTAGTGAGAAAGCTACTTTCCATATATTTATTCAGCTGCCGTTCATTAATTTGATTTGACTTTTGTTGCTCACTTCATAAAGCAGACTTATGGGCTCTTGCAGTGTAGTGGTAATGTCTCTGGGCCCACAGTCCAGGCTCAAGCCACACCTGCTCCTAGCGATATACTGTAACAGCTGGGCAAGTTCATTAGAAAATCTCCAACCTGCATGTAAGGGAGGTTGTGGTGCAGTGGTAGTGTTCCCCATCTCTGAACCAGGAGGCCTGGGTTCAAGCACCACCTCTGCCAGACGCTTGTAATACTTTGGATAGGTTAGTTAAGAATATTCAGAATTCTGCCCTGGGCTGGGACCAGCCTATGTATGCCACAAGTAATAGCTCTACTTTTGTGCTCAACAAGAACATTCCTTTCCAGTCAGCCTTCCTGAGTTATTATGGGGACATATATTGTATACAAGACAATGGTTGTGTCTCAAGCGATCTGTACTTTATCTTCACAATCTGAGACAGACTTCATCCAAGTCATGAATGCTGTATACTCAATTGCCACTAATACTAAGGAGCAGAAACTTTGATATTGATTAATTAACAAGGCACACAACAGTAGCACTATGGACATAACAGTTGAGTATTTTAAAGGGACAAGGTAGGTAGTGTGCATTAAGACATTTTAAAGGATTTGAGTACATAAAAAGGCCATAGCTAGATATGAAAATAAACTAATAATGTTTGCTTTCATCTCAAGAGCATCAGAATGCAATGGGTAAACAAGCCATTGTATCTCCTGAGTCAGGGCCCATCTAAATGCTCAAAGTATCCAGCAACTTAGGTAGTTAATCTTTCAAGTCAATAGTCTAAAGTCAAAACTGAATTTGACTCAGTTGAGGCACCTTTAATGCATTTTTGGAATACATTAGAGCAACTTGAGAAGTCCTTTCCTCAAAAAGGAGTCCCAGTTAATAGAATCCCCATGAAATTTAAAGGCTGGCAATTTTAGAGCAATGGAAGTCCTTCATCTCATGTCAACTATTTGACACAGCTGACTAATACAATTCCATGCCCCAACCCTGCAAGTTATTCTGTATTTCATTTGAGGTTTAATTTTACCACTCAGTTTGTTGAGGCCTAGACTGTGCTGATTAAAAAAAAGGTCCTCAAATTGTCCTATAGATCTTTTTCCTCAAAAGATCTAAGAATACAAACTTTCATTACCAATCCCAATATAGCAGAAGTTATTAAACAAGACCAGACTTATATCCCTGAAAATGGAAGGACATTCTGCTCTCAAGCTACTAGTTGATCTAATTGGCTGGCAGCTCTAGTAGAGCCAGAACTCTAATAGCTGCAGCTGGAACAGAAAGGAGCTGCCTTAAGAAAAAGAATGATCCTCAACCCAGGCTCATTGAAGAGGGATTAGGGATGGGTTTTGGTGGCCAGAGGTGCCCCCAACTTGCAAAACAAAGCCCCATCCATCTTTGCTTCCCATTTAGCCAGTTACAAATTGCCTTCCAACTCCAATCTTGTGCTGAGTGACAGTTTATGTCAACTGGCTCAAACAAGTTCAATTGTCCTTTTTTTGACCAGACAACTTCATTTCAACACACCATTTCGTTTTATAGTAACCTGGTCTGGGAAGGCGATGGAAGACCCACGCACCGTACTGGATGCTTCCCTGTGGCAAAATGCTCAGCACACAGCAATAAAATCTAGCTGTATTCAACTAACTCGGCATCATCTGAAAAAACTTAGTTTCCCCTATCCAAGTCTAGATTGTTTAGATAAAAGGAAAAGCAGTTTCAGTCCTCTCCCATACACAGGGATGCGTTCAGCATTTCACATTAACACCTTTGCTGCTCAGCAAACTGGGACACATTCCACCATAACAGGTAACTTGCTAACTTGAGTGATACCAATATCTTTAGCATTTCCTTTCAACAATTTTTATATCAATTTCTATTGATTTATCTCCCAAATTCAACCCCTTGAAGGGGGGGGGGATGGAAAATCCCAATCAGCACCTCAGCGGAGGTCTCTCCTAAAGCAATTCGTTTTTGTTCATCTTCAGCCCCTCCATTCATTTAAGTATCCTTTTATCTCATTTTATAGAACACTACTTCATTCTCACATTCCCCTTTGATCTTATTCATCCATTTTGTAGTTTGATGTTAGCTCACTTGACAGAACACATCTTGGGAATCTCCATTTAAAGATTTGCTGCAGAATTGAAGCAAGCCAGCAACTCTAATGGTGAGCCAAGTCAGAGAAGCCAACTCAACTTTGTTGAGTCCAGCAATGCTAATTGCGAGACTGGGGAGGCATCCTATTTCATGAGTTCATAGTCAACAGTTGAAGATCACTAATTAGTCCCTGCCATCTATCAAGGTAATGACTTTTCTTTCAAGGAAAAATCACTGCTAATTCCACATTGAAAGTAATCATGGTGTTCAAAGAAATTCACAAATTTGTATGAGAAGCAAGCCATGTTTAGATTCTGGAGACATGGTTAACCAATTTCAAAAGATGGCAGTGGAGACCTTTGGAATTTGTTGATTTCATAAAACAAAACAGCTACAAAAGTTATGAAAGAGAAATAGGTTTAGAAAGACAAAAGATCCAATCAACTGATTTGGATTTAGTGGTGCCAACTGGCAATGTGCCACAGAGTTGTTAGAATAAGTGTAGCTTTTCCATATTACCCAGCATCATAATTGAAAGAAACAAACCTGATGATTGAAGAGTTGCAGCAAAACACTTCCAGAAAGACAAGAATTATAAAATCAAAGCTATTACACCATGTTGCCAAAAGTACACATAACCAGAGACCATTAAAAATGCATTCTTACTCACCAAGAGCTCAAAATCATCTACTTCTGAAATAAAATCTCAAATCCAACTAAAATTTAACTACTCTAGTTTGAGAAAGGGTCACTGGACCCAAAACATTAATACTGATTTCTCTTCAGATGCTGCCAGACCTGCTGAGTTTTTCTAGCATTTGCAGTTTGGGGTTATTTATTTCATTCACTGCCAGATCTCTTCCAGGTATACTCATGAGGTTTTGCTCCTGACAGGATTTCCATTCCAATTTTTTGTTGTCCACCATTAATTCCAACTCCAGTTTCATCCTGGATCATAGGAATCTGATGTTCAATGTTCCACAGACAACTATTCTCACCACATCCTTAGATCTGCATGCTGTGCCATATGTCATATGCACACCCTCTACCTCTCTCCAACAGCACCACCTCAGTGGCTCAGATGTCCTGCTTCCCAGTTCCATTTCATCCTCTGGCTCATGCAATGTGCTAACAAGAAACTCCTTTTTCTTTCAGGCATCAAGGCAGACAAAATGCAACAACTCAGATACCCAAGGCCCTCCAAAACCTCCCTCCCCTCCTGTCACATTCACAATCCCTCCTGACCTTCCACTCTCCAACACAGACGGTTCCGTACTCAAAGGTTTCCATTTTATTCATGTCCACACATTAATGACTGTCAGGCACATCATGATACTGCACCCATCTCTTTGAAAAAGATTCCTCTTCCACACAACCCCTTCAACCACCTCCAACACTATCCCACAAAACCTGCATCCCTCCCTCCAGGCTTTCACCTGCACTTGCCCCATTCATTGAGAACCATCAACATGACATTGGTCACCTCAATTTCTCTGCCTTCAACACCTTCTAACCTGTCCATGAACATACTTTGTAATTAAGCCTGCTGACAAGGGTGGTGTCTCGTCTGGTGGACTGATCTCTACACTGAATAAAGAGAGCAAGTGCCAGCTCTCACCGAGACCACATCCCCACCACAGAACATCAAGCCATTATGGTCACCAACTTAATTTCATCTGGTTACCTGCTTCCCCACCTCCCATACAAAAAAATTAGTTAAGCCGTTTTTGGTAATGTTGGTAGAGGTCAGGACACTTTCGTGGAGCTCCACTTCAAAACAGCATATTGGGATCTCCACCACCTGGCGAGAGGGGTTTGCTTACTGAAATACCTGAAAGACAGCATCACTGACAGTCCAGAACTTGATTCGCAGGAGTGGGACGCGAAAACAAAACCAATAATTCGTGACTCAGGCTGGAGAGAACCCAGAGCAACGTGCCACCAAGACGACTGCATGAGGCTCCGAGGTCAAAGGACACAGCATCCCATTGATTATCCTTGATGCAAACACTAAGACCCATCAGTACAATGCTACAACCTGCCCTCACCCCCTTTAGATCTTCATGAAGATCGGCTAGACTGGGTCTGTTGATCTTGCCACCACTGAGGCTGCCGGTGTTCCGGTAGAAGTCGATCCTGGGCACCCTGTCCGCGGTGTTGTGGCCAAACGTTTTTAGGTAAGAGCTGCTGAAGGTGTCGCACGGGTGATAGAGGCCGTCGGCCCGGAGGGAATCCCCCCGGTTCTGGAAGCCGAACTCGAAGCGTTGGACGTGGCTCACGCCATCTTCGCCCGCCGCCAACGGGGGCGGCTCGTACTCGGGCGGTTCATCCACGAGCCGCACGTGGAAGCGGCTACAGGGAGCCCCAGCCCCGGCCTCGCCGCCGAAGCTCGAGTTGAAGTCTCTGTCCATCGTCTCCTTTTTCCCTCCTGTGACTCTCGGGGCCGGCCGCTGCAAGATGGCGCGGGAGCCTAGTGTCGCACTTGGCAACCGCCTCTGGTCCCTGCTACTCGCACGGACGTGACTTTCCACCACTGGAAAGAGCGTTGCAAATCTCCCTCAGTGCCACCAATACTAACACTATATTGATAATATATCTCACACCCTCTCCAACCACTTCCAACGGTTTAACTGCCTTTCGCGCGCTTTCCCGCTCTTTTATAGGGCCGGCCGGGGCCCACGCATGCGCATCTCCCTGCGCCATCCATTGGCTGAGCTTTGTGCAGCGTCTCCTCACGCTGCCATCCCATTGCAATCTCCCTGTGCATTGTGATGGAATTCTTACATTTATACTCATTGTATTGCCATGGACAAGTTTCTTTAATGCATTTCCAAAATGCATTGATCTGCTCATCAAAAGTGTATCATAGCAAGGAACTTTATTTTTGGCACTAAACTATTGATACTAACAGAGGAGAGGATGCAATGTCTTATTGGTATTATCGCTGGATTGTTAATCCAGAGACCCCAAGTAGTCCAGACCCCGTGTTCGAATTCCACCACAGTAAATTCACTAAATGCTTGGAATTAAGAGTTTAATGATGGGCATGAATCCGTTATCGGGGTGGGGGGGGAACCCATCTTGTTCACTTTTGGGGAAGGAAACTGCCATTATTAGCTAGTCTGGCCTACATGTGACGCCATATCCTCTGAACTGCTCTCTGGGCCATTAGGGATGGGTAATAAATGCTGGTCCAGCCAGCGACACCCTCATCCCGTGAATTAAAAAAAATGAAACGTTGGGTAGCTACTACATGGACATCATAAAGCACGGTCGGAGCCCATTCAGCTCACGTTGTCTCTACTGGCGTTTTGGAAGGGCACCGCCACCCAGCCCTTTACCATCTTCGTTCCTACTCGGCTTGTGAACTCTTCATTTTAAGGATTAATTCTTTTGAGAGTTACGACCGAGCATTCCAAATCATAACGATTTAATAGTGCTTTGAGAAAGTAAGCTCAGTTCTGCAGGAGTTTCAATCCTGTTCGAAAGTCCTTTAGAAGTAATCTTTAATTTTACTCCTTATCAGAATGACGTGTGATTGTAATTCTAGAATCGCTCATTTCAAGGCGATTTCATACCTTGTATCTCGCCATTCTTGACGAGTAAAATAATGTGTGGATCGTCATGAGGCACAAGGGATCAAACGGAAAAGACCTTCCCAGTTTATCGTGTCTAAGTGCACGTAGTAGATTAAAATTCCAGGTTTGCTTTATTTTCCAAAGAGGACCATCGTTTAATTCATTTCTAATTTCAGGCATCTGTACGTATTCCCGCATTCACTCATACGACTTATCCGATTTTTTTAAAATTAAGATCCATTTTATTTGACAACATTGATACAGTTTGACCATCTTTAGCCAGACGTTTTTTCTTAAGGTAAAACGTACAGTAAATTAAACTGTGGTCATGTTTAAAGAACCAGTGCGCTCCTCGAGATTATTCAGGATTATTCAGTTGATGCTAGGAAGAATAACTCTGACGTTCGACCGGGGAAAACTATTAGTTTGCTGTTCCAACCATTAAGTGCAAACACCCGTAAGATCTGGAAAAATAACTTTCCTGTTTGGTTAAAACGCAGGTCTAAAGCACTTAACTCCAAGCAACAGTGCTGAAATTCAATCCTTTAATGCATAGATACATTCCTTCAATAGTCTATCTATAAAGCGGAGCGCATTCAGGAATTTACAAAGATGTGTCAATAAAATCAAATTCACTGTTAATGAAACCGTTAAAATCTCAAATAGGTTGCGCTAATTCGCATTTCCCAAGGCAACCCCAATATAAGCACTAACTCTTCTAAATGAAAATGTTTTTCAACCACATCTGGAGCTTGGGGATGTTACTGATCCCAGTTACTGGCTGCATTAGTGTTGTGATAAATGTAAAGTATCGGTCAATAATAGACAAAACAAGAAGATATTGTTATCATGAACAGACGTACACCTGCTTTCCATAAGATAATGTTTTGTTTTAAGCAAATTTTTGTTGTCAAATATTTCTTTCAAAAGCTGAAGCCTATTTTCTGGGCTGAAATGTTGCCTTTCCACGCCAGGAACAGGTCGAGGTCGGCTACCTCCCCACTCAAAGGCATGATTTCAGCTATTCAGAGATAACAAGGTGTAGAGCTGGATGAACACAGCAGGCCAAGCAGCATCAGAGGAGCAGGAAGGCTGACGTTTCGGGCCTAGACCTTTCTGAAGAAGGGCTACACCTTGTTATCTCAGATTCTCCAGCATCTGCAGTTCCTGCTATCTCCATTTCAGCTATTCATTTCTGTTTCAGTTGCAGATATAGTATTCACTTTGCACATTTAAAGGATTTGTACTGCGTGTTAGCCGGGAATATTTGGCAGCACAGAGATTCTCAAAGAATGGAAAAATATTAACTAAATTTTCGAACTTAGAAACCAACAAGAAATGGGGCATAAGGCACAATATGAACCAGAAATTGCTGAAGAAACTCTGCATGTCCGGAGTATCTGTGGAGAGAATAACAGAGTTAACGTTTCAAGTCTAGTAAGACTTCTTCAGAATTGACGTTGTTTTTATTTCAGATGTCCAGCTTTCGCAGTATTTTGATTTCATTACGATATAGACCATGGACGGGTGAAAGTTAACATATCATCATAACCAGTGGTTATTAAACAGAGACTGGAGAGAAAAGTTTGGAGCGAAATGGCGTTGGAAACCAGGTAAACTACTTATGTGGGATTTTACAAAGTGAGAGAGAAAGAAGAATATTACTTTAAAAGTGTAACTTGTATAGGTTGAATACGGAATAACTCGAGATTTTAAACATTTAAAAAATTACAAACAGGTTATCAGAAAGACGCTAGTGTAACCGCAACAGGAACGATTAAAGAACGAAACAGCGTTTCGATGTTAAACTTCTATTTGCTTCCAAATATTTAATTACATAGTTAAATTATATTATCATTAATTTGTACAACCTGCTGTTTCCTGGTAACTGTTATAGCTATACGGACTCCGTAAGCGAGTAACGCCAACCACATTGTATTGTGTCATAACACCGAGAGGGAAAACTGCTCGATGTTAATGTGTTAATGTCCCTACAAGTTATTCAAACAGTGAGCATTTCGCTCTGAAATGCCTTTTCTTCTGTCAGCGAAGTGTATTAAATAAAAGCGAACGATGAGTACTTCAGGTGCCTCAACATCAAAACCAAGTATTCAGTTGCCATTCACCTCCCCCTTCAAGTTTGCCACAAAAGGTATTTACACATATATATTATATTCCAACACATCAATTATGTTTTTAAATGTGCAGTTTCTCACTATTCCTGTTATTTCAGCTCCCTGCAAAGAATTAACATTGCAATTTACCCCTCATCAGGAAGTGAATTTCAGCGGGTAAACACGTCTTTTTCCAATTCTGGCTGAATCCTTGGAATTTCACGTGGTAATTTCACCCAGGGAGGGTTGAACAGAAGTCAAGTCACGGACTGGCAATTCCTCCGGCGTTTACACTTCGCTAATTAGTATGTTATTAATTCTGCACACAAAATTCACATTTCACACTTGCCATTCTTCCAAACGTTACCCCCATGACCTTACCTCTTTCCGTGGGATTTGAGCATTCGCAAACGACATGCAAGTGGGTGTCTAATATTTTTAAGACAGGGGTTGATTGATTCTCATAGGCAAGGAAATCAAAGGTTATGGCCAACGGAGAGGTTATATGACTACTGGAAACAAACAGGTCAGCCATGATCTAAAGACCATGAGAGGTAAGAACGCCAGCAGGCCATTGGAGCCCATGGAGTCTTCTCTGTCATTCAATGAGATCATGAATGATTTGATAACCCTCAACTTCACTTTCTGTCTTTTCCCCATAACCATGGATTGTTGGTAAATGGAATATATTGTAGGAAAGTGTGGAGTTTTTCATTTTGGAAGGGAGGACAAAAGAACAGAATACTAGTTTTTAGAACATAATATAATAGAATAGAATGGAGAAAAAAAAACTGCAGAAATCCACTGTACAAATTGACTTGGAGGCACTTTAGCACAAAACATAGCACACAGATGCAACAGATAATTGGGAAGGCTAATGCAATGTTAGCTCTTGCTTCAAGGGGATTAGAGTATAAGAGTGGGTAAGTCTTACTACAACTATACAAGTTGCTGGTGAGACCACATCTGGAGTACTGTAAGGAAAGATATTGTTCCATTGTAAGCGGTTGGGAGAAGGTTCACTAGGATGATCTTTAGTATTCACTAGGATGATTTTTAGTATGGAGGGATTGTCTTGTGAGTAAAGGCTAAACAGTTGGGACTCTGCGCACTGGCATTTAGAAGAATGTGAGGTGATCTCATTGAACTATACAGGATTCTAAAGGGGCTTGACAGGATAAATGCTGAGATGATGTTTTCTTTCCCAGAAGAGTGTAGGACCAGAGGGCATAGTCTTGGAATAAAAGGGCGCCAACTTAAGATGGAGATGAAAAGGAATTTCTTCTCTCAGGAGATTGAGAGTCTTTGGAACTCCTCGTCAGACGGAGCTGTGGGGGCAGGCTCCTGTTCCTTTTTTTTTGAGGCTCAAATAGACAGTTTCTTGATCAATAAGGGAATCAAGGTTTACGGGGAAAATGCAGCAAGGTGGATGTGAGGAATGTCAGATCAGTCATGATCCTATTGAATGGCAGAGCAGGCTTAAGGGTCCTACTCCCGTTCCTATTTCTTATCATTTTGTAAATCTTCAGTTCTGTAGTGAAGGTTTACGTGTGAGCTGAGAGGTACTCATTGTTAATAAGATTAAAATTAATTTCAATATCACAGGTTAGCAAGCATCCAAATTGTTAGGACTCCACAACTGGCTAATGACAATCCAAAACCAATGAAAGAATTGAGTCGTGTTCTCTTTTTGCTCCTCAGTCATAACTTTAATAGTTCAATACAATAAGAGAAAGTTCCTTACACTGGAAATTAGCTTGTGTAGTTCTTATTTTCAAAAGTTGGGATGGATCATAACCTTGAAACTAGAGGATTATTAACTTGGCATCAATTGTCGGAAAAAGGGATCATAAGAGTGACACGAGAACGCCAATTTTCAAAGGGTACAGCAGTTTATACTGCATGAGAAACAGGGTACA